TCGTCCAAATAAACGATGACGCATTTATCTAAAAGCGGGCGGAATGCTTCGTTCATGGTCATTTGGAAAGTGGCGGGGGCGTTGGTCAGTCCGAATGGCATGACGGTGTATTCGAAGGATCCGTAGCGTGTTCGGAATGCGGTTTTAGGGCAGTCGGGTGGGTTGACGCGGATTTGGTGGTAGCCTCCTCGGAGGTCGATTTTCGAGAAAACCCGGGCTGTGCGCAGTTGGTCGATCAGTTCGTCGGCTCGTGGGATGGGGTAACGGGACTTGATGGTAACCCTGTTCAGTGCCCTGTAGTCGATGCACATGCGAAGACCCCCGTCCTTTTTCGGTGTGAACAGTATTGGTGCGGCGAAGGGCGACGAACTGGGGCGAATGAATTCCTTTTCAAGCAGGTAATCGAGCTGCTTCCTTAGTTCGTCTAGTTCGGGTTGGGTCAGTCGGAACTGTCGCTGTACTGTTGGCTGTGCCCCCGGTTCCAGTTCTATACTGTGATCGTGCGGTCGCTGAGGTGGCAGTCCCGTCGGTAAGTCATCCGGGAAAATGTCACTGTACTGTTTTAATAGTGCCGCCAGGTCACTCGGTACGTCGGTCAGCAGTTTCTGTAAATCGCCCCCCTTGTCTGCTGCCTCGGCTTCCCGAATGTCAACCGCGTACACGTCAGCTCCGGCCGCTACAGCGCGTTTCATCGTGATCGCATTGACACGCACCGACGAAGACTCAGGCGAGCCCCAGCGAGGTAAGGCGATGTTGTTACCGTTCACTCGCACGGTGCAGTCACCCGTCGTCCAGTCAATTCGCGGATTGTGTCGTCGCAGCCAATCACGCCCGAGTAAAATGTCGGTTCCGTCGAGGGTCGTTGCGAGCATTTCCTGGCTAAACGTGAAGTTTCCCCCGCATCGAATCCGAACTCGGTCTACGCGTTCCCGTATTGCCAGCGGCGTGCCGTCTACCAGTCGTGCGTCGATCTCAGGTAAGCATCGGTCCAGTGGCAGTCGCAGTTTTCGTGCTGTAGCAGTGTTGATGAGGTTGTGGCTGGCTCCCCCGTCTACGAAGATTTTAACTAAGTCCGTCCCAATTTTCCCACTGAGCAGTATAGGGCTATCTACCGTGGTACCCTCCTTATTCGGCCGGGTGTGGTCGATTGCGTGAACCGGCACAATCACTCGGTGAGGGTCGGTTGGGTCGGGCGAGCGGCGTGACCTGTCAGTAGAGGGCCCGTCTGCTACTGACTTCCAGCGTTTCCCTGCTGCTTGGTCTGTGTCTGCTGCTCAGCTTCCCCCTTTCCCTTAGCGTTTTCCGGGCATTCGCTCTTGCGATGTCCCGGCCGATTGCACGCAAAGCAGCGCCCTTTGAACGGTGCGGCAGCGGCATTTGCGGCGACGGCACGTATCGTGGCGCCCTCGTTCGTCCCACGAGGCCGATGTCCCCAATGGCTGCTTCCGTAGGACCCCTGTCTCGGTCGGCGGAAGAAATCCAGTTTCTCCGCCATAGCGAGAATTTCTTGAAAGTCGGTGACGCCGCGAAGCTGAATTTCCTGAGCGATGTCCTACTTCAGGCCGTCGATGTAGCGGTCGATGCGCTCGCTCTCGTGCATATATCCCACCTGCTCGCATAGCGCCAGAAATCCGCTCGTGTAATCCTGGACGGAACCGAGTTGGCGCCAAGTGCGGAGCTTCTGTCGCGCCGAGATCGAGGCCGCAATTGGCTCAAATCGAGCGCGCAGACCTGCGCACCACGCGTCCCACGTGCGATACTGGGGCACCTCCACGAAATACGACGGCGCCCAGGGTCCGGTTTGTCCTTCCCGTGTCGGTAGTGTCGCGTAGTCGGTCGGCTTCGTGACGATGACGCGCCACCAGTCCATGGCGGGTCCTCGCAGCAACGACACGGCGTATCGAATCTTCGCCGAGTCCTCCGAGACGTAGTTGGCGTCGAAGAAAACATTCATTGTGAATAGCCACGCCTGAACGGTAGGACCACCCCGTTGACTCGGGTCAAAGCATGGCGGGCGCTGCGGCTTCAGCGGCATCGGTGACGGCAGTCCCGAATCGTGGGTTGGTGCCGAAATCGTGACGCGAGGCTGACTTGGGGCCGCAGGCGTCGCTCTGGGGTGTGTCGTGCCGTGGTCGTCGTCTCCGTCGGGGCGGACGACGCCATCACTGGCCGCGCTCGCGGGTTGCCCCACACTCCCGTGTTGTGATGTGGAGGGTGCGGGTTGAATCGGAGTGCCAGGTGCTTGAGATTGTGCTCTCAGGAGGTCATTTTGCAGTGATGAGCGTTCTGCCGTCAATGCCGCGATTTCCTCGGAGCTTTCGTGCAGTTGTCGCAGCAGATCGTTCAAACGCTCCTGCGTGAGAGTGGTGACGTCGATGTTTTCGGCCATGACGAAGGGCGTCGGCTCGTCTTAGTCTAGGCGCAGTCGTGGCTGCACGCGTTTACGAGAGAACGCGAGGACAGCGGCTCCTAGGGGCTAAGGTGCGTGAGTCCCTTCGAGTGAAAAATCAAAAGTTGATTTCCTGGTGTGCGGAGATGCGCGGTCCGAAAGAAAGGGGCTCTGATAACCAAGTGTTACGGGTGCAATGAATCGAGGTAGCGAGAGTTGCACTAAGGTGTCAAACGAGTACAAAATGTGAGCGAAGGCATGAGCGAACATTTATACGCGAAACATGCAAACGGTAACGCGGTGCGTGCGAGCTGGCTAGTGCTACGCTGGAGCGAGGCTCGGGCTAGTCCCGAAGCGTAGGCCGATGCGGCCATGCCAGCAGTGTGAGGTTTGGCAAAACAGTGCGCGCGAAGTCGGCGAAGTTCCGTTAGCAGTAACGGGCGAACAATCGGCTGTTGCTGTACGCGATGTAGTCGGCTCCGTAAGGAATGCCGAGAAAATTCCTTACACACAGACATGAATACAATACTAAACTCTCAAATAGCTGTACGTACGTTTACTTTCTCAATAGATGATTCACTGCTAGGTAGCACTTCTGCTGGTAACTTTGTTCGTTCATCGTCGTCAGATACCCCGTGCCCTCCTCCCTAATCTCGTGGCGCACAAAACGTCGTCCTATTTCCAGCGAAATGACGCGCATCGTCGAAAATCTTGTTTGTCTCATATACATTGACAGACCTACTTCCTCTGTTCCTTCGCAACCATCGTAACTGTTGTGTTTTCTCGCCGTTTCTATTCGTGAATCGTCGCAGCCTTGCCCTCACAACCGAACAACCATGCCACGCCACTTCGCCACTCATCGCAAACATATACTTCGCTTGCCTCTGCCTCGTCAATGATGGAAATGCAATTTGTGTTCAGTCTACCATCATTGCAAGCCTCCAGCGAGTTTCCCGTTTGCTACAGAACAGTCGCCTGCACAGTTTTCCAACTGTATTGCCTGTTCCATTTCAGCCCTCTGCCGCCATAGCAATCGAAATAGCCCTCATTGGCAATCAAGCAGTCACACTACACAGATTGTCGCTGAGATCTGCGCGATGAAGTGCTACAACCTATCGCAGAGGGTGTCTGACAGATCGTAGGTCCAAGCAATTCCATCAGCCCGATGCGATTTTCCAGCCACCGCGAACGCGAACTTCAACCACCAGGGCACGGAGTACATAACACCTCCAGAGATCCCTTCTGCCAGGAACCCATGTATTTCAGTCCCCTATGAGTACATTGAATGTTCCATTCTCTCTGGAGTTTCACAACGGTATTCAGCGACCGCCAACCTCTTCACTTGCTCCTAATCCGCCATGGCTGCCGCGAATGAGCAGCACAGCGTGCCTTGGCTTCGCGTGAGAACTCGCTCGCGTCATGTGATGTACTACTAGTCGCGAGGGGGTTGGACGACACAAGACCCTGAAAGGAGTGCACGTTGAAGCCGCTTAGCGTGAGCGCCACGTAGAGAATGGTGCGCCGAGCGCCCCGTATAGCGAGGTTGTTTGCTCCCGTGCTGAGCAAGGAGCGGACGAGACAGATGTCGTCACTCGTAATGTCGAAGAGCCCTCAACGAGCTTCCCCACGCAGTCATCGGGTAACACCGTGTCGCCACAGATGGCAGCTCCCCGCCTCGCCTAGCTTCCTCCTCCTCGGTCTCCTCCTCGCCACCGCAACCGCCGCCGTAACTTCCCCCGCAAGTGCCGCATCGCCGGGTGAGATAGAAGCAACTCTCCACAAAGTCACGGGCCCGTCGGATCCTGCGCAGCCGGCGCCGTCGGTGCCGTCGAAACCGGGCCAAAGCGGGCAGATTTCAATGCTCACCGCCATTACCAGCTGCCCGGACGAAACGTTTTCCTGCCCCGCGCCCGTCACCGTTGTTTTGCCGAGCCCTGCTGCGAGCTGCCTCCGGATCCCACGGCCTAGCGCGAGTCGGTCGTTCAAGATCGATTGGCTGGGGGATGCGTCTGCTCTCGCTGCTGCTCTCGCGGCAGCGAGCAATGCGACGGATAAGATCGCTTCTGGCAGTACGGGCATTCCTGCTACAAGCACATCATCCGCTACAAGCACTCCTGCTACCACTATCAACGCTACAGGCAATATGGAAGCGATTCAGGGTGGAGAATTGAGCGGCGAGCGCATTTACGCCTGCCGGACGTTAGTATTTTGGTCGCCTGTCAACTGCTCGTCGTTAGAGCCATCTTTCGCCGTCATGATGCCCAACTTTGAGAACCTAATCTATACCGCCCGATCCTCCCCACATTGTTCATCCATCGGCTCATCTTCAAGTACTTCCGCAAATCCCGGATCAGGGGAATCGGCGGGGGGATCAGGGGGAATCGGCAGGGGGGCGACGGCCCGTTTTGCAGTGGGTTCGACCGGAGAACCCGCCACGAGTTCTACCAGCAAAGTGCCTCTCGACTCTCCTGGAAGCATAAGCGCTGCCGCGGACTCAGCGCCACAACATGCGGCGGGCGCTGCGGGATCCAGGTTACGGGGGGAACGGGTAATGCACCCGATTACGCTGCCGGGAGAGGCGGCAGGCGCGCCGTTCGCCGCGCCGCAGAAG